GGCATGGAGACCTGAAAGATTGGACCTTGAGGAGAGAATGTTATTGTTGACATTTCGTTATCTGTGCTCAGAGCTGCAGAGACTGAGCTCCAGCTGATGGGATGAAGGCAGGCCAATTTAAAGGGGACACATGCTGTCTTGTGTCTCCTTTTTGACCAGATGTTGGATGGTCAAGTTGTACCTAAAAACTGACCATTGCTGGACGTTACAATAGTTTCTCACACAGTCAAAGAGGAAGCTCTTGAAATAACTCATAATTAAATTTCCTCCGTTCATTTGCTGTTTGGTTATAACTCACTGATGATTAAAAACTAAATCTACTGAACATCACGACTGAAATGGTAAAATGTTAGAGGAGGAACTCTGGAGGATTTTCAGCTGCATCATGTGAGCAGAAAGTTGTTCATTTCTGCCTCGACTCAAACTAATTTGTGTTCTGGTGACACCTGAACGCCTCAGCTTCAGTATAAGTGGGCTGCGTGACATTATGCTCCATGATGGTGGCCCTTTCTTCTCTCATGTGTGATGGATGTGTCTGTCATAGCGGGCTCGCTACTCCCGATTGGGCACAACTTTTTTCTGACAGAGAAATCAGCCAATCCTAACGCTTCAGTGATCCGCCGCTCTAATCTTTTCCTCCTGCTGTAATTTCAGAAGCTGAATGAACCCAGGTAATCCCTCACAGGGAACGTTGTTTCCACGTCCTCTCTCTCTCTCTCTCTCTCTCTCTCTCTCTCTCTCTCTCTCTCTCTCTCTCTCTCTCTCTCTCTCTCTCTCTCTCTCTCTCTCTCTCTCTCTCTCTCTCTCTCTCTCTCTCTCTCTCTCTCTCTCTCTCTCTCTCTCTCTCCTATTTTGCCTCCACCTGACCCATCACTCCTCTGCCAGCTGCTGCTTCTGTTCTCTCCACCTCATGTTCTGCCTCCCTCAACTCGCTGCTCTTCTCAGTCTGCCATTGATTTTCTTTCTATTTGCAGCCTCGCCACACCTACTCAGTAAGTCCCTGGCATTCCCCTTCATCTTTCTTCTTCTCTCATCTTTTTCTGCTGCATCTCGTTTCTTTCTTATTAACCTGATTTTCCTTCATTCCTTCCTGTTTCTCAGGAGACCAGATTCTGTAAATCACCTGTCTAGAGTCTGGTGTGGTTCCCCAGATTCTTTAGATGCTCTGCACCGTAATCATTTTTTGATACTGTAGAGAAGATGTTCTTACATTTAATTAGAAGCCATAGAATGTGAAACATCATAAAATATGAAATATCACCTTAATGGATCTTTGAATAAATGTAACCAGAAGATCGGATCTTTTTATTGCAGGGATTGAGCAACACTTCATATCAACTCCAAGAAAGAGAGAGTCAGGTTTAAAAAGTTAAAAGATTTATTTCTAAACAAATTAAACAAGACTAATTTTAAACACTATGTGATGAATGATGAACTAAGGTGAAGAAAGACTGAGAATGGTGTATGCGTGAAATATGTTCAGAACCAGCAAATCCGGAGAAACGATTAGTTCTGATGGGAGTGAGATGGTGTTTCGCTCTAAGCTTGGTTTGGAGATTACAACACACATTGAGACACCATCTGTCGGTCTACGTACCCCAGTGGAAGTCCCTGTTTGGATCCGGAACGTCAGCGGTCCAGCTTGGACCCTCTTGGAACCGACGCCTGTAGATATGCGGCGGTTGCCGACCCTTCCAGTCTTGAGTTACTCCCAGGTCACGACAGTTTATTGGCATCAGCGAGACCCTGAAGGGGGTCGTGATGGTTCAGCTTTTATTCTGAAGGAACCGTTGCAGCAGGTGGAACATGCAACAGATTCAATCCAGCTTGTCGTTAGGTTCTTTCGGCTTTAAGAGGAAAGTTACAGATTGGCCACTCCGACAACTTCTCTAGAATGCTTTGAACTCAAGTTAAGATGACGTGGGGCATAGTTTTATAATTTGGATGTTTTGATTCATGGTCGAATCAGACTTTGACAACAAAAGGGGATTTACCAAACACCAACAAAACCACGCCTCGCGTCAGATTGGACGATTCTGATTGATCAGACAAAGGAATGTGTCATGTGATTTTTAACATTACATGTGGTCAGTCTAGTGTAAATATTTAAAGTTATACTACTTATTAAAATACTATCATAGGATTATAATATCAAGTAATTAATATTCTCATCTCACAGATTGATTGAACATTAGCTTCACATGATTATTTGGACTAACAGACGTTATTTAATAAGAAGAGTTCTGTCTTCTTTCTTCTTTCTTGTGCTGTCTGAGGAAGCAACAGTTTAGATAAGAGCATAGAGCATGAGTGGCCTTGGGCCATATCTTGTAGATTAGGCTTGTGTCAGAAACTTGTGTTTCTGCTTGGGCAGAGCAAATAGAGCAGGGCCTTTAGGTCAGAAATGGACAATTCAACACGCTACAATACTCTTTTGAAAATACCAATTTATTAACACTGCAATAGAATAATGAAATTAATTTTCTATTTTTTTATATACAAATTGCTGCAGAGTGATCTCTTTCAGTCTTGAAGCATCTTGTCTCAGAAACCCTCAGCAGGTCAAATTTGACTCAGTCGATTTGTTGAAAAAGACCATTTAAAGTCTCACCCAGCGTTAAAAATGTTTATTTTTGGAATAAAATCAACATTTGATCAGTTTCTAGATATTTAACTTAAGCTTTTATATCATCTCACCAGCTTTCCCTCTAAAATTGTTTCTACACATCTCTATAGCTACATTTACATGCACTAAATCTCCCCTGTCCAATTCAAATCTGTTGATCCCAAATCCAAAATCTCTGTTTACATAGACACTAACTGAAAGGATCCGATCATGCCGTGAGTAAACATGCACCAAGCATTTAATCAGATTAAATAGGTTGAGCATTAATAAATGGTGTCTGCAACAGGCCACTTCTGTTTTCGACTCGTCCTGAGCGACTGCAAAGGTGAAAAGACGTCATGCTGAAGTTGCACGTATGCGCGATGGGCATTATTTTACCCCAACAGTCCGAATGAGTGTGCAAGAGATTAAAGCTGGTTGATACAAACAAAACATTTCCATGAGAAAATGCACTCAGTGATGTTCACGTCTGCAGGCGTCATCAGAGGCTCTGGTTCAGCCTAATGAAGAATCACTATAATGAAGCTGGAACAAACTCACCTCCACCCTCCTCCCCTTCAGCATCAGCTGCTGGTGTCAGAGACACGTCGGCGTTGACGCAGTCGGAGGTTTGTTGTGTGGAAATGTGCAGCTTCCTTTCTTTATGATAAAAGCAGGAGTCAGATTAACTCTCAGGATGTTTTAGGAGGATTTTAAAGAAAGGTTTGATGTTGTTGCTTTAACAAAACCAGTGTGATCACTGACACATCCTTCATAACACATTTATGCAATTATTACTGAGTGTGATTGAAATAAAATGAACGTTAAATTAAAGTAGATTGCTTCTTATGTTAGACTGCTGCTCCCTGATTGTTGCTCCAATTTTATTAGAGGAATTTTAGACTTCATTCTTTTGGATTAGTTTTAAATGTATGTTTTAATTTTCTCATCTGATTTGTGTTTTGTTGTTTATTGATTCCATTCATTCAGTTTTACTAGAAAACATCTTCCTCTTCCTCTCTCAGCCTCCTCATCACTCTGTCTCTTCACCCGCTCATCTTCAGTGGAGTCGTGGTGCCACCACTTCATCCCATTAGCCTCTCCGTCCCTCCCCCCCCCGCTCAGACACCTGCTGAGTCCAGCCGAGCTAAAGACTCCCAGACTCCCACCACCTCCACAGGCTCAGGAAGCTGATTGTGTTCACTGATTGCTGAGCAGCAGATTTCACCGGTCCCCTCTTTGGTCGAGCTGACGTGAGCTCACATTTTCTCCCTCTCTGTCTCTTGAGGCAATCAGTAGCAGAGTGTGTGAAATGTGTTTGGGGAGGGTTTGGTAGCCGGAGTCTGTTTGTGGGAGCAAGGTGCTGTTATTGCACAACAAGTGCAGCAGAGGAAATGGAAGGCAGGATATTTTTGATCAAAAACTCTCAAAGGAAATCTTTCATTTTAGAATCTGTCTCCACCTTTTTTGTGTGTGTGTGTTTGATGTTTTCTCACATCGTGGTTCATCCTCAGTGTTGGGAGAGTTTAAATGGCTTCTTTGATGGTTTAGTTTAAGTTTAATAAAACCTGAGTCACTGAATCATGTCTGGTCGACTTCAGTTAAATCACCCTGATTGTTTTCTCTGACTCTGATGACTCAAAACAAATCAAACTTTATGTCAAGTCCTAAATAAATGCAACAGTTTCTCCTTAACTCATCATAAATTATTCAAATGGAGTAAATGTGTTTCATACGATAACGTTTGACAACCTTGGAGATAAAACTGACGATGTCCTTGCAGTGAGAAGACAAATGCAAATTAATTTAAATAAAATCCAAACTTTATATCACAATAAATTCAGCAACTTTTATTTTAAATACCCAATAATCTTTTTTAAATCTGAATAATTTCAATGGTTTTTATATCAGTAAGTTTTAGTAGTAACCCAGTTATCAGGATGATCTCATGTCTAAAATCATTTTAATAAATTAAATCTAAAGTGAAGATAAGCTGAATAAAAAGGTTTATATTTGAATCTTTGTTCATCTTTGGGCTGTCTTCTGTGTCCTCTCATAAATCAGCTCCTGTCTTCAACACTTACATTCTGCTTCAGGCACATAAATGAAATTACAGCATGAAAACTTTCACAATAAGAGAAGAAAAGCTGCACTTATTGTGTCTCTGTAGCCACATGACTCATAACCATGAATTCACCAGTGGGATGGATTTTAATACAAAAGGTGGGAAATAACAAAAACAAATATTCTTTATAAATCTTTTAGGAAAGGTTTTAATCTGAAAAACATTTTTTACTGGAGCATTTGACGTGTTTATGTTTATGTCTGCAGGAACAGATTTTAAGTTGTAACCATTAAAAGTCACATGAATCCTTCAAGATGAAAACAGTTATTAAAGGCACAGTCTGCAACATTTAAATGTAGAATAACTTTAAAAATGTTTGATTTTGACCATCTGACCCAATTTTATTAAAAAAAGTAAATAATCTTTAATATTTCAATTTTCTCCTAAGTCCCTCCCCTGCCCTGTAGAGCTCAGCCAATATTTCTGCAAGCCTAAGGCGTTGACCAATAGCGCTGCGTTTCCACCAGGGGCAGCTGTCAATCATCGAGCACGAGCAGGTCTCAGCGTGCACAACAGTGTCACGCGCCTCACTCGGCTTACTGCAGAAACATGGAGCAACAAAACCCCAAATTACCGATTCCTCTACTGCCTTCCACATCTCAAAAAACATTTAAAAAGTTTAAAAGCCCTTCTTCAAAAGTGGCTGTAAGACGTTTAAGACAGTCGAGTAGAATTTACATTGGAGATTGTTTTACACACGATGGAGAGATTTTCGTGATCTACACGGCCTGAAAACGGATGAAGAGTTGGCAAAGTATCTTTTAGACAGGTAAGTTATTTATTGTTTTTCGGATAAATTTACTTATCTTTCTTTCACTGAAAGAAGTAATAGAGCAAACAAGCTTTGTATGCTTGGTGTCCTAATGCCTGGCTAATGTAGCATTAGCTTGAATGCTAAGTCGACATGAATCGATGCTAGTCAAACTATTTATGCTATATTTGGAAGAAGTTTGAGTAACGAAAGGGGATTTTAGTTTTTTGTTTAAATGGGAGCTAATGATTAGTGTGGCGTTTAACTATAGGCCACATCAGTATATTGTTTTAAGCTTTGTTTTTTACAGTCATCAGTCCAAATATGAAGCATCGACATCTACACCATTGAAACGCCAACTGTGTATTTCTCCAACACCAGTGCCAGCTTTGTCTGGCATTCATGGAGAATCATCTGAAAGGTAAATAGCTGCGTAAAAACCTACCAGGAATATTATAATTTTGCCTCTGTTTGTTTTAAGTTAGTGGTGGATTATTTTGAAAAAAATTCTAGAAAGGGGGTAATGAATGACTATAAAAAAATGTATAGAAATAAATAGTAAAACTACATTTTATATAGCGCCTCTCAAGATAAAACTCTTGAGACACTTCACAACAACAAAATTAAACATATTTAAAAAAATTATATTTTTATTTCAAAGTTTATGAGAAAAAAATAACACAATTGTGTTTTTAAAATGTAAAGAGAGAGACAGGAAATTATTTGTAAAGAAGGAATTCAGCGGATACAGAGAAATTCGTAATAAGTAGAGTGAGAAAAATAAGGAGAGGGTGATGATGACGGCTAATAGACGAGGTCTATTACCTTCAAAATGACAAAATATGTATTGATTCTAATCATATTCGTGTGCTTGTATTTTATTTTCATAGGGATGATAATTTGGAGGAGGTGATGGAACAAGGTGAAACTAAAAAAGAAGGATCTTCACAAATGTAAGTACAAGGTTGTATCTGTATACGGCTGTCACATTTGTCAGGAAAAGTAAACAATAATTACTTTTTTAGGTTATCTTGTGTGGGAATTGAAGCAAACATTGACGAGGAAGAGTTCAACAATATTCAAAACTCTGTGTAAGTATTCAGATGTTAATAAAATGTGTCTAATTTTCCATACTAAAAACTTTATATTGTGTATATTCAGGATAGTCATCAGATGACACATGGTCACCAAACAGAGAACCAGAAGTTGATTCGTCTTCAGAGGAGGACGAAACCATCGAGATGGACAGCGGTACTGATGACAGCGGTGATGAGGACTACACACTTTATATACACATAAGGTAATTCCTTTCGTTTAACACAGGGATTCCCAAAGTGTGGTGCGCGCACCCCCGGGGGTGCGCAAGCTGCCGCTAGGGGGTGCGCGAGGTGAAAAGTGTAATGGCTGCGGAGCTCAGAGAAGTCTGTCATATGTCACCATTAGCGTAGCCAGAAACTCGTTTGTGGGCGGGCCTAAGAAAACGTAAGTGGGCACAATAAATATAATTGAAAACAAGTATATTTTTGCGCGCACGTGTGTGTGTCCTCCACATGTGCCCTAGCTTCATAATAACAATGTGCCGAGCTTCAGCACTCTGGCCTGCGCACGCCGATATGTTCCGTATTTGATCATTTTTAACGATGTTGGAGAAATCTGAAGGTGGTGAGTCATTCTGGCAGATTGTAATGAACACCCTGTCTCATGCAGGTGTTCTGACATTGTAAACCTCACACACAGAACATTGTGGATGTAACTAAATAAATAAGAAATGTTTCCCATTCAGGCTATTGACAGCGTGCCGGAGATCTGAAGTTCAGAGTGCGTCTGTCAGAGGTCAGACGCGTGCCAGCGGAACCACGGCTCACGGGTGCACAAGTGAGCACATCTGGGCTGGGCAGAAGTCATTTTACAACATTGGTTTAAATAGCGCCAAATAACGAGGCGCGGTGACTGGAGCGGCTCATGGAGCTGTGCCGTGCGCGCGCACACACACACGCAGATTCAATAACCCCCAAATTCCACTACCTCCGCTCCGACACGAACGCCGGAGCAAAATCGGTCCCGTTGTAGTCAATCAGAGCAATTCCATTACTGCGGCCGTGCTCCGGCAGTGCGGCGCCGTGCGCCGCCCTCTGTTCCGCCAAAAATAGAATCGATCCTATTTTCGCCGGACGCCGGAGCACCTCCGCAGTAAATGGACAGAAATCACAACCGTCCAACAGGAAAAGGAGCAAGCACACTTTCCATTTTTCACAATAAATCGATAAACAAAAGGCGTTTTTTGTTTCATATGTACAGGTTTAACAACTTTTAACAATTATCAATGGTGGCTGAAGTTTAAATGCACAAAAGTAAGCCATAAATACAGTTTCTACTATCAAAGTAGTCACACTTTGTTGATCCAAACACTGCTGATCTCTCTACACAAATGATAGGCAGATTAAACAGTTCATGCCGATGCTTCTCCCACACAACGGGTGTTTGGATCTAACTTCCGCGTTTATTGCTCGGACTGTATCGCAAGATCTCGAAAATCCCGCGCATGCTTGTTTGCCCACCTCAGGTCTCCGCACCGGAGCGGAGCCGTTGTAGAGCGGGTACCAGTAAAAATTGAGTTCGGAAGCGAGCGGCTGCGGAGGGCGGGGGCGGACCGGAGCGGAGGTAGTGGAATTTGGGGGTAAGAGCGCGCGCTGCGCAAACTCCGGCGCCCCAGAAATGAGCGCTGCCTCCTCTGTGATAAAAACTTTTAAGAGGTTTTATAACATTTTTCATTCCAGGTCAAATTAAGATATTAGCTTCTATTTTGGGGGGGGACGTATTAAAGTCGGGTCCGCTCCAGCCAGTGACTCCGAACCTGACTACAGCTCCTGTTACTGCAGCATTTGTTATTCCAGTCCGCGTGGCAGCGGATCGCAGATTCAGCCACACCATAAAACAGCAATAAGTCGGTCTGAGGCAAAAGTGAACCTCATGGCTTTTCCATATTTTCCCCTATAGACATTTGATTACGCACAAGTAGGTGATCAGTTCAGGTTTACGCAGAGCAGAAGGAAGGAGAGCGCTCTGGCCGCACAGGTTAAACGTTCCTACTTTAAGAAAACCATTAAATTGCATTGTTTATGTTCTACCTGGGCACTCTAAATATTTATTTAAAATTAAATCAAAGGAAATCGTAATGGTATCGAATGTTTATTAATTACTATTTAAAAAATGAAAGTGATGGGGAAAAAGGTCGATCATATTTTTTTAACCCTGTCTGTTTAGCTTGACGTCTGATATATATATATATATATATATATATATATATATATATATATATATATATATATATATATATATATATATATATATATACATATACATATATACATATATATATATACATATACATATACATATACATATACATATATATATATATATATATATATATATATATATATATATATATATATGTATATACATATATGTATATATATATATATATATATATATATATATATATATATATATATATATATATATATATGTATATATGTATATATATATATATGTATATGTATATATATGTATATGTATATGTATATATATATATATATGTATATGTATATATATATGTATATATATGTGTATATATATATATATATATATGTATTAGGGTTGTCACGGTAACCGGTATAGCGGTAAACCCCGGTAAAAAAGTTGACAATAAAAATAACCGTCCAGTTTTTAAAAAACTATATTATCTCGGTGGGTTTACCGTGACCGCGGTTTTGGCGCGGTGACCCTTACCAGCCACCGTCGCTTCAGCTGAAGTTCCCGCGGCGCGCACACGCACTTTTTAGTTTGCAACGGCACCAAAACTTTGAAGCTGAAATAATGGCCGAAGGAGGAGACGGCAGCGCCCAGGACATCCATCAGCCCTCAAAGAAGACTAAATCGGAAGTATAGGCATATTTTGGATTTCTGAAAAATGCTGAGGGACAGTTAATAGAAGACGGCTATCCCGTTTGCAGAACGTGCAGGAAACAAGTGTCTGCAAAAGGCAGCAACACTTCGAATCTCATGGCACATCTGCGTGACCATCACCCACGTCTCCACAGCCAGTGCAAGGTAAGTCAACATGAGCATTTTAGCTTAAATGCATGACGCGAGGACTTTTGGCTGAGGGAGAATGCAACGAGTCACTATATCCTGCAGCCGCAGCGTCCTCTGCCAGCATTTAAACCGTGTCACGGACACCCTGTTGCTGGATGAAGCATCTTATTTGTTGATGATGAAGAGAAATATACAATTAGTTCCTTGTCATTGATTTGTTTACTTGTTCAATGCCATTTATACTTGAACATTTGGATTTGATTACATAGTGTAGTAGTTATTTTAGTAATTTGTTTAAAGTGGCTATTTATTTTAAATACATATTTTTTAAGGTTGACTTGTACAGTGCTCAAGTCAAGTGTGGACTGGAGTTTTAGATTTTCATTTTGATAATGAAGAAAACAAGTATATGAGAAAACAAGTGGTGTTTCTTTGATTTGTTTACATATTGTTTATGTTTCGAATGTTTGGATTTGTATAATTTAAACCTGCACTGACTACTGTAACACGTTCCAGAAAAAGAAGATATTTGTTCCTTTACTTGTGAAAAGTTGCACTTTTGCTAAGGCTTTGTGTTATTTTAGGTTTAATAAACACTGTTAAACCTTTTCAAAACTATTTCAGTTTGTGTAGAACAGGACTATCAATGCTTTCTGAACATATGCAACACCGTTTAAAAAATACCGCGATAATACCGAAAACTGTGATAATTTTGGTCACAATAACCGTGAGGTTAAATTTTCATACCGTGACAACCCTACTAGACACACCACGGCCTCTGGATGCACCATGGCTTTGAGATGATGGTGGGCATCTCCTTTTTGCACCACGTCTTGAAGATGCAATAGGAGGTTCAAACTCTTCCTCTGAGGATTCCTCAATCACTGAACTCTAAATTGTATTAGAATAAAAAAAATTATACTAATATAAAAAGTACTCTTGCATATTAATCAATTTTGACACAGATCAGGTTTACATCTAGTCAAAATTTGGGCTAAACCAACAATAAACAGAAACCCTATGAAAACAACCATGATTATAGGAGGACTACACAGAATGCAGTGTTTATTCATGATTTCCACACAAATTATTTATATGCTTTGATATATTCATCCCATCTTGAATGGCAAAGCAATTAAAAATAAGCTAGTTACTTGTAATAAAATGCTAACAATTTGATAGGATTAATTTTATTTACAATATAGATTGCCAACTGTTACTGGTATTTTAAAATATAAATATATTTATAGATATTCTTTATAAAATGCCTTTTGTAAACAGTAAGTGTTTAATGTGCTGGTTAAATACAACTTTCTTACCTCAGATAACTCCATTGCTAACACTAGCTCAGCTCTATTACAAGAAGCAATGCTCCGATGTTGACTCTGCTTTTCCTGCGCGTGCACATTGGGAGGCGTGGCTTTCGGCTCTTTCAGGAAGGGCGGGGGAGTGAGCAACAGCCAATTTAAAAATCTCCTCACCCTGACGGCGTCATCCTGCGGACTGTGCCTTTAAAGATTTTAAAGTGTCAGAAGAATGATCAGATTTTAGGAATCGGTGCATGAAAGAAACCTGATTAAAACCAGCTGACCAAATGTTTACAGCATTTAGGATTGATTTGTAAATGAGAAGATTTACATAAGATGTGATGAGACACCAGGAGGTGGAGGTGTTTAGTTCCATTAAAGCTGAGTGTGTTTCTGCACCACAGGATTGTGGGTAATTAGTTTAATGAATGCATTCTGCTGCTTGAACGCTCAGTTTGCTCCTGAGGAGACTCTTGTGTTGGTTTTGTTTCTATCTTCAGTCTCACTGAGCTCTGCTGTCACCTCTTCTCACATCCTGGTGACCTGTCCACAGCTCCGTCTGAAGGTCACTCTGGTCCTCCGTTAGAGACGAGGGAGGAAATGAAACTCTGATTGTTTGTGCCGGTCTCTTCCAGCTGATGGACGTAGTGACTGATGGTTTTTAGTTTGTGGCACTCTGAAGACGGTCTGTCCATGGAGACAACTCTTCCATCTATCAATGTGACGGACACACTCTTCAACACGACTCTTACTATCACTCCTTTCACTCAGTACGTGTGTGTGTGTGTCCTTTGTTAATCTGATTACAAATGAGACGATATTTTCCCAACATCAGGAGAGTAAATAAAGATTTGGGAGTTCACAGAGCTCTGATTTCATCTGGATTTATATTCTCTGGACCAAACTTCAGAAGCCACCAAGGAGCAATTTTCAGCTCCGATCGCAGCTCGTTCATCACCGTCTGATTGCTGTGTCACTGTTATCTTTGCTTGTTGGCGGCAGACGAGCCTCAGCTGAAGGCCTCCATAAGAATTTCTTACCTGCAGCCTGTAGGGGTGTAGGGGTGTGTGTGTGTGTGTGTGTGTGTGTGTGTGTGTGTGTGTGTGTGTGTGTGTGTGTGTGTGTGTGTGTGTGTGTGTGTGTGTGTGTGTGTGTGTGTGTGTGTGTGTGTGTGTGTGTGTGTGTGTGTGTGTGTCTGTCTGAATTACGGAGCCGTTTTGTTCCATCACCAGCGGACTGTCATCTTCTCACCTCAGATTCTCTAACAGCTCCGGGGGAAAAGACAGAACGCTGCCGAGCCGCTGATTCAGTTTGTTGCAGGAACCGTTTAGATCTCAGATCTTCACACCTTCAGGCTCTGGATCCATGGAGGAGAAAACACTGGTCTTTGTTACTGGGAGATTCAATTATTTAGACTGGGTTTTAATTATGTAAAGGTTTTGTGTTCTATGTGTGTTAAAGTTTGAGTTCCACGTTTATCAGCCTTGAAGGTTCATTTCACTTTCCCTCAGTTAAACATGTTAACCTCAGCTTTCATTGAACTTTGACCCCTGTGTTATTGCTTGTTTTAGCTGAGCTTCACCTGCATTGACGCCTGTCTTTGTCTGCTCCTTAAAGTGTGAAATTTCTCATTTTTAACCCCAGTTGATTTATTTTTGTTCCTATAACGTCTGAAACAAGTCCCACCTGTAAGAGTTATCATCTACTTTTAAACGCTTTCCTCCCAGATTCCCTCGGGTTCCTGATTACTTTCTTATCCACTCACATATTTATTGGTAAAACTTCAGAACCCGGATGATAAAAGTCGACACTCAGGCAGATTTTTGACGTTCGGTTCTGAGCCACTGAGGCGTGTGAACATAAATTTGCACATGCAAACACAAGATCTGTCAGCAGTTTCCAAAGATCTTCTTCCTGTTTAATATTATTATTCTGCAGTAGCTTTATAAAGCTCAACCAGTGACTCAGCTTATCTTCTAATGACCTGACATATTTAATAGGAAGAGTTAGACACAAACAGGGCTGCAGGATGGCGTCCCAGCTGCCGTCCTGCTGCTCTGGAGAGCGTGTTTAATGATAAGGAGACTGCTGAGAAAAGAGAGAGGAGTTGTGTGTCGACATCTCAAACACCCAGAGGGCTATAAAGCAGGAACTCCACTGTGGTGTGTGTGTGAGACTTAACACCTTCCAGAGCACCTGTGTGTGTTTTGTTCAAGTATAAAATGTTGGTCTTTAACTGAAGTTATCAGTGTGCAAACAGACTTCTTGTGGCGCGGGAATAAGACGCTGCTTTTAAAGTCTGCACCACTTCATAGCTTTAGACTAATGGTTTTATTTCTATTTGGCTCCCGAGTGCAAAATAACCTGGGTGAAGTTTTTCTTTAAGATTTAACTTTCGTGGACGACAGGGCTTCATAATTCCTCTCTGTGTTACTTTTTATTAGAATTTTAACTTAAAAAACTTTTTTGTGAAAATGCTTCGGAAGGATTTTCTTTTTACCAGCAGAAAGTTTTTCACTTTTTAACAGCAGTTTAGTTCTCATTTCTGAAGCTCAGCAAAGTTTTGCTTATAAACAAGCTTTAATACAAATTTAATGGAGCCTCTTAAACCTGAAGAAGCAGGGACAAACAGAAATAGAGGGAACATTGACAAATAAAAGCCAGAGGAGTAGAAAGGAAATCATGTTGGCCTGATAACAAACAGAAAACCCTGTTTTTATTTATTGCAGATCAGTTTTACAGGTGTGATTGATGTCCCTCAGAAGGATTTTATTAGTCTGTGCTTGACCGGGTTTACATCAAAGGACAGAGAATCTGCAACATTTATGATTCTCACTCCAGCAAAGCCTCTCAGCATTAAATTGAGTTTATTTTAAATATAGA